CCTGCTCCTTGGAGCTTACAGTCTAAGAGGGCTCTTGTATTGAACTGTATTGTTGCTGTATTGTCTCCCATTATATTGTAAAGTGCTGAGCAAACTGTTGGCGCTATATAAATCCTGTATAATAAATAATAAAACATCGTCACCATGCAGCACTAACAATGAGAAATCATCAAAACCTGTAAATGTAATCAGCGACCATGGCTGTATACTATACACAGAGACAAGGCTTTTAAAATCGGCAGCTCAAGGCTGTGTGGTTTATGATCAGACAATACAAAGTTCCAGAACTGGCTCAGGCAAATTGGTGAAACCTAAACTGTGTTTTGCAGTTATGTTTTCTTTTTTTGGGTTTTTTTTTTTTTTTTTTTATTACTTGTTTTCCCCGCCTTTCCTCTCATGATGACATGGATTCCTCCAAAGTTTTTCAGATTTTAGGAATAGCCCAGGTTTGACCACAAGGAAAGCTCAGACTTTGCGCCCGTTGTCTTTGCAGAAAAGTTAATGAATGCGGTTCTAGGAGGTGAGACCTTGTGTTGGGAGAAATTCCATCCCACCCCAGGGGCAGCGTGTAGGAGTATTAGGAACGTCATTCCCTTTATGTGACAATTCCCTGCTAAATTCCATTTCCACTGCTGACGGTTGTTCCCGGGGAGGTAAGTCACCCTTGCAGAATGGCGATGCTTTGGTGGATACTTATGTGCGTCTCTCCAGTGGTTATAGAACGTTTAATAACCCCCTGCGAGACTTTCCTGCACTTTGTTTGCGATCAGGTTTGGGGGAGGGAAGAGGAAAGGAAGGGAGGAGGATGTCTCACATTCCACCTCCTCTTACATATGAGATTAGGCAAAACATGAGTGTCAGTGTAAATCAGGCAAGACTGTGATACGGGCTCAGAAATGTTCTCAGCTGGGACACGGCAGACTCCAGGCCAAGCTGGATACGCAGCAACTACTACGTAAGTACGCGCAAGTCCTCCATCGTACACAGGTGCAGGTCTGGGGGCTTAAGATGGCTGTAGAAAGCGGTCATGTGTCCGGAATCTGCCTGAAAATTCCTTAAAATGTATCTAAACCCCCTGGTGCCCAACCTGCAGCCCTTTAATATATGATGTGCAGCCCTCAGACCGCAGCAGCCTGTAGCGGGAACATTGAGTAGTAGGGTAATAGCATTGATCTCTACTGGCTTCATGTTCATAGTTTCGTCTTCTGTAGCATATCTCCAACCACAAATGCAGCCTGCCCTCACTCTCTGACCCTCGTTTCCTCTATTAGGTCTGCATGTTGTGACATCCTCCTAAGTATTACATATATTGAACTTTATGTACGGCCCTTTGGTGATGTCAGGGGCCACATTTGAGGCCACTTTAGTTCAGAAAACCCCAAACCAAACAAGTGTTATATAACAGATTACCAGTCCTTCCATGTCCTTAGTCCTTTTTTCAGTTTTCTTTTCATCTTGCCAGTAATGCACTTCTTTTCCTAGAGTGACAATGCTTAGTTACGGTGCTGTATCTTTAGAGGAGCAGTGTTATCATACTAAGACAGGACTACAAAACCCCTCCCTTTTTCCCCAGTACTGAGATGAGGTGAGTAGAAATTTACTACTGGTAAACCCGTTCTAGTGACAGCTGGCTAAAAAGGGATTTCCCTTTATTTTGAGACCAAATTCACATCTGTGCCACATGATAGTGACTGAAGCTGGCCATACACTATTTATTACAGGTACTTATAGCACCATTAATTTACACAGCACTTTATATTGTTCATTCACATCAGTCCCTAACCCTCAAGGGGTGTGCAGTCTAAGGTCCCTAACTCATATTTATACATACACATACTAGGGACAATTTAGATAGGAGCCAATTAACCTACCAGCATGTCTTTGGAGCGTGGGAGGAAACCAGAGTACCTAGAGGAAACCCACACAGGCACAGGGAGAACATGCAAACTCTGTGCAGGTAGTGCCATGGTTGGGATTCAAACCAATGACTCTAGTGCTGCCAGGCAGAAGTGCTAACCACTTAGCCACTGTGCTGCCCTTATGCCCACTAGTAAAATTTCATTCAAGATTTTTTTTTTTGCTTCTGATCATTTGTGAGGTCAAATCAATGTTTGTTTTCAACCACAGTGACAAAAACAGCACAATGCAAATATTTTTCTCAAACCAAGGAATTTCTAACAGTAAATGTGGTTTTCATTTGGGGAAGTCCATTTATTCCAAAATCGAATGTTAAAAGTAAACACAATTCTGAAGTACTCTGGAATAGTCGTCAAGTCCTCTAATGTACTGAGAATGTTCCTATGAATGTTCATTCAAAAATTAACCACTGCATGGCCAGCTTTAGGTGCCATTCATTTTGAAAGGGACACCAATAAACTTTGGCAGATCACCACAACACATACATATCAGTGCACAGATCTCCATGGTTGTATGAAGCCCATTCCAAATATAGCATCTGAATATGTAGGCAATACCTTTTATTTTAGGTTTGGATAGGGTAGGACAAGGGATAAAACCCCTGTCAGATTTATTTATTGCTATGTTCATTACCTTTTTGTCCCAGAAGCAAAACAGGAATTCAAAATGTGGTATTAAACCCAAAAGCAAACATTTCTATTGATTTATATTGCAGCTTACCAATTCTTAGATTTGATGGCTGCATTCGTTTCCTTATTTAGGCTTTCTTTCTATTTTCACCTGGTGATGCAGCCAGTAAGTCTGTTGTCTTCTTAACAGAAAAGCTTTCCTGCAGTTCCAGAGATGAGAATGACCATTTACCACTGACAGTGGTGCTTAAAGTGATCAGCTTTTTTTTTAATATAAAACCTTTATCCTAAAAGGAAAAAAAAATAGCGTTTGCTGTAACTGTTTGTAAAGTGTTAGCTGGCGTTTGGCTTCAATTTGTTTGTGTATTTAAATCTGCTAGTACATCTAACACCCCCCCCCCCCTTCCCAGAATGGCAATGCTGCTGTCCAAATGTGCCCCTGTGCTCCTTGCTCCAGAGTGGAAGCACTCTAATGCAGCAGGTTTAATTAAATAGAAAGTGAATGCTCAAAAACAGCAGCTAATGCACTCAAGGTAATCTCAGCAAACCTTAAAACATAAGTACTTAAATAAAAGTGCAGCGCTAAATAAAATTGATAAATATAAAATATATAGAATTAATAATAGAATGTCCCATACATGCTAAACATGTATAATAAATAGATAAATAACAGGTAATCCACTAGAAGTAGCCGTATATTCGGAGAAGCTATATCAGGAACAGGTGATACAAATGCGCACTCACCGGCCGCGCTATAGTTCATCAGAGGTGTTGGCCTCCCCTCTGATGATGTGGAAAGGCCTTAGGAGGAGACAGCAGAGCGTGACGTCACAGCCGCCCGGAGCCACGAGGAGGCCCGGGGGCCATCTTTGTTTAAGGGGTCAGTACTACTCTGCATCTGTCATATTATTTATTGAGAGAGTTTACTACCCGTTTTTTACTGCACCTTTTGGGAATAAAGTCTTTAATCATACTACACTATGGGCATCGGTTTTGGCTCCCATTGGAGCTAATTGATTTTCAGGACATCTCACTATTAACCACCACCACCAGAGGGAGGGAGCCCTGTATCCAGTACATGCACCCATTCAGCCCTAAGGGGATCTCTGGACCTGGAAGCCTTCACCGTATACCACTGAGACAGAATACCAGGATTACTCATTTCTAGATGGATGCTCACCCTCTCCACCTTCCTAAGGGCTCAGAGTGGATATCTACTACATGCGCTTAACTATAGCACGTCCGGTGAGTGTGCATTTGTATCACCTGTTCCTGATATAGCTTCTCCGGATATACGGCTACTTCTAGTGGATTACCTGTTATTTATCTATTTATTATACATGTTTCGCATGTATGGGACATTCTATTATTAATTCTATATATTTTATATTTATCAATTTTATTTAGCACTGCACTTTCATTTAAATGCAGGAGGTTTGTTACTGGCCAGATCACCAGGTGAAAACTGAGAGTGGAAAAAGCCTAAAAAAATAAAACTTGTGCAGCCCCCACATCTAATGATGGGTAATCTGCAATATATTACATTTTTGGTTTAATACTGTTTTTATCTGGCCATAGATGGATTGAAATTCTGTTGGTTCCTCAAGGATAGGCTGAGTTTTGATCCATCTATGGCCGTTTCCACTTGAGAGAAGTTGATCTAATGAGTGTGAATGTTACAAAATTTTCATTTGATCAATTGTCTCCAGCGCTGATCATCGTACTCTGACAGCGAACGTGTTCCCACTCACAGAATACAAGAACACAGTGGGGAGGATTCCCCTATTTACCTCAGTGGTGTGGATGGGGGAATCCATTTATTTTTTTTTTCTGATCAGCCCACTGGCTGATCAAGAAAAAAATTGATCTTTCTATGGCTAGCCTTAGACAGCTGTCACGGGAATAGGCGTCCCCATCAGAAGATTTCTCTCTCTTCATTTTCTGGTGTCCGCTGTAAAAGTTTTGAATCTTCCCAGCGGGGACAAAGACAGCAATGAAAACTTGACAGGGGTTCTAACCCCTAACTGTTCGAATCTACATACACTGAAACACAAAGCATATTACTCCATCACAAAACTGTGAATCTGGCCTTGGGGTGGTATATGAAAACGAATGGACAGTCCCCGCAGCATTTTGGTGTGGGGTAAGATATAGTGCATGGATGAGCCTTGGAAAGTCTGACGGCCTCCATGAGACCAACCATGTTCACACCTGTGAGAGCCTCTTAATACAAGGGACAGAGGCAGAATAAAACGGAACCAAGAATGGATGGATAACTGATTACTCAGTGCTCTAACAATGCCCCATCTATGGCAGAAGATGGTTGTGTAATCTGAGACTTCAGAGGGATTTCTGCAGGGATTAGAGCTGAACATAGCAAACATCTAAACACACAAATGCAATACCTACAGTATATGGGCACTGTTCTACCTGCCCCAGGATGTGTAAACAGTATATGTCTATCCAGCCTTGAGTTTTATACAGCTCGGCCACACAGCACAGCCCTGTCTGGCAAGACAAAAGACCTGATTTTTCTCAGCTATAAGAAAGTAACACAGGCAGGGGCGGACTGACCATTTGGAAACTCGGGCACTGCCCGAAGGCCCGGGGTCAGTAGGGGGCCCCATGAGATGCCCCTGGTACCTTTTTTATAGGCTTTTTTGAGTTTGGGCAAGGGCACCGGGGCCCCATGATCCCCTATTGCCCAGGGGCCCCATGAGTTGTCAGTCCGCCCCTGCTTACAGGTGTCCCTCCCCCAGCCTGCAACTGGACTGTGAAAGGAGAAGCAGCAGACTGATGATCTCATCTCTCTGATACTCTGCTCTCTATTATCAGCATGTTTCTTGGTACTGCACTGTAAAGCAGGCCACAATTTTCTTTCCACTGACTGTGCAGATGGGGGAACCCCTCATGCAGCAGAATTACGTTCTGCCAGCACGGAGCCTTCCCTGCCAGCAGAACACAATGATCACTGCTGGCAGTGATTACATGAAAAGATCTTAACAGGCTGATTGTAGTGAAGTCGATCGATGGATCAATTTCAGTACAACCAGCCTACCCTTAGATGGATCGAATCTTCGCCAGTCTCTACTGAATCAGACAAGAGTCAATCCATCTATGGCTGTCTTTAAGGGTAAATGCTCATTACGTCTAGCGGACACTTGAACAGACATTGTACCTATGGCAAGAGGGGGCAGTCCATCAACATCATCATGTACAATGCGGGGCTATAAACCCTGTATTGTAAGGGGTGGGGGCATGTATGAGACTCTGGCCATGAGCACCTTGGAGTGGAAGCTGCGGGGGACCGATCACACCACTGGAGGGACACTGTTAGAGTGCAAGGTAAGGTCTTACTCTTTATTGCAACACCCCTAGACATAACAAACACTCCTAATTCTTGGAGATGACCTTTCACAGACCAAAAGGGACCAAAAAAAAAAAATTGTTAGAATGAATACATACACTTTAAGGCTGGAGCCACATGGCCAATTGTGATGCTAAGTTCCTGTGGATGGGATTTTGTTCACTTTGCAGTCCCATATAAGTCTTTAGGAATGCAAAACCCACTTGAAGCAGGTTAAGTGGCAGTCAAAATGAGGTCAATGGCAGGACTGATGCATCTGTCAATAGCCCTAAGTTCACACTTATGTGGATTTTAGTGTGTTTTCCACTTTGCAGAAACACACTACAGTCCATTTAACATAATTTCCTATGACTCTAGTTCACATCTGTGCATTTGAGTCGGTGTGTTTTTTTATTTTATTTTTAAAGGGCCAGGGACTTTTTTTTCACAACACATTGCTTTTTTTGTGCAATAGACTTAGATGGAACAGCACCAAAAACGCAAGTGTTTTGCATTTTGATGCGTGTTACTTTTTTTTTACCAGTAGGAAAGTATTGTCTTTGATGCAACTTTAATCTGACTTTGGATGGGTGCAACTTTGATGCAACTTTTTTTGCTAATAGGAAAGTGACTGTTCATTTAGTGCGACTTTGAAGCTACTTTCATGCTAGTTGAGTACCAGAGAATGTAAAGTTGCATCAAAGTCGCACTGTATAAACATAACTGTCATACTTTCAGATTAGCAAAAAAAAAAAAAGAAAGTTGCATCAAAGTCGCAGTCATCCAAACTCCCATCAAAATTGATACTTTCCTTTTGGTAAAAAAAAAGCAAATTGTGTAAAAATGTGTGTTAAAAAACGCATAGCAAAATACGCTGGAAAAGCGTATCAATCACATCATGCAGAGGTGTGAACTTAACCTAAATTCTGCATGGTCTCAGAAGTGTCTCAGACTGATGTCAAACCAAATTCATTCAATGTAAACCTGCAATGAAGGAGACAACGTTACCTGCCCATTCAATTAACAGTGCCTCCTGATAGCAACCTCCTCCCATACCATCCCTATCAGGATATTGATCCACACTACCTTGTCACTTCCCTGCAGCAGGAGCCCCCTGACCAAAGCTGGCCATGCACATACAAATCCTGTACATTAGTAAGACCTCATCTGGAATATGCAGTTCAGTTTTGGGCACTAAATCACAAAAAGAACATTGGGGAACTGGAGAAAGTACAGAGAAGGGAAACCAAACTGATAAGAGGCATGGAGGAGATCAGCTATGAGGAAAGATTAGAGGAACTGAATTGATTCTCTCTTGAGAAGAGGAGATTAAGCGGGTATATGATCAACATGTATAAATTCATCAGTGGTTCATATACTGAACTCGGTGTAGAGTTATTCACCCTGAGGTCATCACAGAGGACAAGGGGGGGCACTCTATGTCTGGAGGAAAATAGATTTAATCTCCAAACACAGAAAGGTTTCTTCACAGTGAGAGTTGTGAAACTGTGGAATAGACTCCCTCAAGAGTTGGTTCTGGCCAGCTCCGTGGATTGCTTTGACCACATCCCGACCGCCCTATAGCAGATATACTGCTACAGGGCGGCAGGGGTGTGCAAAATCACATATATATGTCATTTTGTATTTCCGGCTAGGGGGCGCGCGAGCCCTACCCAAGCGACCATTTGTGGCTGCGGCTGTCAATCACTGGGTCCCGGCCAGTGATTTCCCGCCGGCGCCCGGTGATTACTGAGCATCTCCAATGGGGAGGACTGCTTTGTTTGCTAACAGTCCTCCTCCCTGTTGGCTCCGGCAGAGCGAAGCACCAATACACCGCCCCCCAATAAAACACTCCCAGCCCAGCACACAGTTAACCCTTTGATCACCCCTCATGTTAACCCCTTCCTGCCCAGTGCCATTAATACAATGTCAGTGCTTTTTTTTTTTAGCATTGATCACTGTATTGGTGTCATTGGGGATGTCAGTGACACCAAGTCAGTTCCCCCCAGTGTCAGAATGCCCGCCACAGTCCCGCTATAAGTTGCTGATTGCCACCATTACTAATAAAAAAAAAAAAAAAATTCCAGTATCTATAGCACTATTTGTAAACGTTATAACTTTCGCGTAAACCAATGAATTTACACATATTGGGATTATTTTTAGCAAAGACACATTGCAGAATACATTTTGGCCTACATTTATGATGAAATTAGATTTTTTTTTTACTGGACATGTTTAATAGCAAAAAGTAAAAATTATTGTTTTTTTTCTTAAAATTGTCGGGTCTTTTTTTTTTATAGCGCAAAAAATAACGCACAGGCGATCAATTACTACAGAAAGAAATCTCAATTCGTGGGAAAAAAAGGATGTAAATTTCATTTGGGTGCAACATTGCATGACCGCGCAATTGTCAGTTAAAGTAATGCAGTGCTATAACACAAAAAACGGGCTGGTGAGGAAGGGGGGTACATCCTCAGTAGCGCAAGTGGTTAAAAAAGTCCTGGATTATTTTCTAGATACACAGAATATAACTGGATACTAACATTTATAGGTAAAGTTGATCCAGGGAATATCTGATTGCCTCTCGGGGGGTCAGGAAGGAATTTTTTCTCTGCAGGAGCAAATTGGATCATGTTATGCTGGGTTTTTTTGCCTTCCTCTGGATAAATTGTGGGTGTAGGATTATAACTTTTTTTTATGGTTGAACTGGATGGACTTTTGTCTTTTTTTCAGCCAGACTAACTCTGTAACTACGTTACATACATGACTGAAATTTGTCCAGTGTGTGCCCCCCTGTTGTAGGGACATGTGGGAAAACTTTCCATCAGCAGCTGCAGCCGATCAATGTATTCTGACAGCTTTCAGAATACAATATCTTCATAGGCTCCATCTACCACTGGCTGAACAAGAAGAAAAAAAAAAAAAAGTTATCCACATATGGCGAGATTCAGTGCAGATGAATTAAATCACTGCCCCCCCCCCCCCCCCTCCATCATGTCACAGTGAGAAGATGGGTGAGTATATTTGCAAGGGTTGCCTATGAGGAGGTCATTCTACCCCAAATGCCCTTTGCTAATCTTAGTGAATTGCTGTGAGTGAACCCCAAAAGGGGGAACATGGAGGTGACTATCAGAAGTTTTAAAATAAAAATATATATATATTTTGCCATTGGTTTATTGTAGATTGCACAAGGGGAAATGACTGAGGTTGCCAAAGATCACATAAAGAATGCACCATAGCACAGAACAGTGTATTGTTTGAGTGTTTCATTTTGTTTATATACAGGATTATTTGGATTTTATGTTTGAATTATTTTTATAACACACACATAGAGGAAGGATACAGTGGACTGTCTAGGTTCAGGAGCTGGGTAGCATAACTAGTTCAAACTGCGTTACTTCACTGATTTATGTTTTAGTATCACAGCAATAGTGTATGTATAGGTAGTGTAGTGTATATTATGTAAATGCCAGGCAGATATGACCAATTTTTTTTTGTAATAAGGTTTTCTTTACTTTTTTATCCATAGAGAAAAAGGACACCTTTTAAACAATGAAATGGCATGCTCAGCAATACACTGTGCTGCAATTACAGTACAGTGAAACTCTTACAAGTATTTTAAACGTCCAAGTATGTTCATATTTTGTGAACATAATAATGCAGTAGGGCAGCTTCTGTGAGCATCATAAAGTAACCAAGGAAAAACATTTTTTGTACATGTAGTTCTATGACAAACGAAACACAAGTCACCATGTGCTATGTGCTAGTTGTGCCAACATACTACTATAAAAACATTATTGGTTTTGATAAAATACAGAAAAGAATGCAGCCTTGTATACATTAATTCATCATTAACTACTTCAACCCCAGCCAATTCTGACATTCCTCTCCTACATGTAAAAATCATAATTTTTTGCTAGAAAATTACTTAGAAGCCCTTGAGAATAAAATGGTGGGTGTTGCGATTTTTTTATGTCACACACACAGTGTTTTTTCAAATGAATTAAACAAAAAAATACATAAATTTCATAAATGTAATGCAAAAAAACAACATAATAACTTCTTGCTAAAAAATATAAAAGATGATGTAGAATAAATGGAGTAAATAGATACCTAACATGTCACACTTTAAAATTGTGTACGTTCGTGGAATGGTGACAAACTACAATACTTCAAAATCTCCATAGGTGGCG